TCTCGCCATGGCTCGCGAGTTCGAGCTGTGCCCCGGGCGGCGCGTCGGCGGCGACCAGCCCTGCTTCATCATCGCCGAGATCGGGCAGAACCACCAGGGCGACCTGGACATCGCCAAGCGCATGATCCGCATGGCCAAGGTGCGCGCGAGGGGGTGGGCTGGTGAGCGAAGCACCGGGGCGCGGCCGGGGGACGCGCGGGAGGGTTTATTCCAAACACAGGTTGTCTGCGGGCAGATCTTGCATTTGACTTTGAAAAAGCGTCTGGAGCGCTTGTCGTGCGAGGAGCGGCTGAGGGAGCTGGGGTTGTTCAGCCTGCAGAAAAGGAGGCTCAGGGGTGCCATTATCACTCTCCACAACTCCCTGAGAGGAGCTCGTAGCCAGGTGGCGGTTGGCCTCTTCTCCCGGGCAGCCAGTGACAGGATGAGAGGACGTGGCCTCGAGTTGTGCCAGGAGAGGTTAAAGCTGGACGTAAGGGAGAATTTCTTTACAGAAGGGCTGAACAGACATCGGAATGGGCTGCCCAGGGAGGTCGCGGAGTCGCTGTCCCTGGAGGTGTTTGAGGCAGGACTGGACGTGGCGCTTGGTGCCCTGGTCTGTTTTGACACACTGGTGTTCGGTCACCTCAAGGACTCCATGATCTCAGAGGTCTTTTCCAACTAATTCATTCTGTGGTCTTGTGTCATGGGCGCAGCCCCGCAGCTGGGGCATGAGCTCACGGGGAATTTAGGAAGTATCAGGCAGCTGCTGGAAAGCCTCTAATGAACCTCCAGTTTGACTTGGTTGACATGTAGGGCTTTATTGCAGTAAAGCTTGTGTCATCCAGATAGCCAAACTGCCTTCAGATCCGAAGTTATATCTATTAGATAGAAAATGGCACATCACCACAGCTTGGAGCATGGTGTATTCAGTTCTGTACTGGGGTATAATTGGAGATTGCTCTAATGAGGATATATCTTCACTGTGTGACTTCAAATTGATTACTATTCCTGGAGGTGTAATTAATTATTATTCAAGAGGTGTGTGGTGCTGGTGATGTGATCTAGGGGTAACTGTGGTGATGCTGGGTGGATGGTTGGACTGAATGATCTTAAAAGTTTCTTCTAGCCTTGACGGTTCTATGAATTTCAGATTCATGCTTCTTATTGTGTCCTTTTTTATTGTAAAATTATCAGTGACACCTAATCTGGGAAAAACACCACAGAAGTCTATTGGGTCTTCGAAATAAAAGGTTTCATATCTGTGTAGGTCCACAGTCACTCTGTGTTCATTACCATTTCTGTGATTGCTGTGATGATAATGTGAAAATTCCACAACAGATGAGCACATCAGTTACTCACTCCTTCAGAGTTGAGTGCAGTTTCACTGCACTTCCACTCAGTGTACACCAGCTTGTTTTGCAGGACTGTGGAGCAGACTGTGCTAAGTTCCAGAAGAGTGAACTGGAGTACAAATTCAACAAGAAAGCCTTAGAAAGGCCCTACACCTCTAAACATTCCTGGGGAAAGACCTATGGGGAACACAAGCGCCACTTGGAGTTCAGTCATGACCAATATAGAGAGCTAAAGAAGTATGCAGAGGAGATTGGCATTTTCTTCACAGCTTCTGGCATGGATGAGGTATGTAAGCCATACTGGAATGACAAGGGGGGTCTTTCTGCCATTGGGTATCACCTAGGTGTGACCGTTCTTATATGAAAAGAATATATGGACAATCAATTTCTGACTGAGAGACCTTCTAACTGAGAGTAATTTTCCAGTTCACCTGTGTCTCTACAATGGGTGGCTGAATATTTTGGAAGACTTGCCCCATCTGTTGAGATGCTGATACACAGTAAGTAATATTAGGGACAAGGCTTCTTTTTGATCTTAATAAACAATTGAGGCTTTGAGAGTGTAGATCAAGATGTCAGTCAGACTTCGCTCCCATGTTGTCTGGTGTGTTGGTTTCAAGCATATCAAACTTCCTTCTATATTTAAACCAGATTCCTTTCTTGATCTAATCCCTATTATTTCCCTCTTTTTCCTCGTTTACTAGACCCCTGTTGTTTCCAAGCAACAGAAGTGTTTATGCCTCTATTTCTTTTACTAAACTCATGTTGGGGCTCAGCACCTTGGCTTGTTACTGCTGAATTATCTACTGATTTTTGCCAGTGGACTCTTGAACAGTCAGTCATCAGCTTCACAACTCAATGAAACTCCTGCTGCTGTTCCCCCTTAAGACCTGTGTACTTGTGGCTGTTGCATGTTGCTTGCCTCAGAATGATGGTGTGACATTATTAAATGGAACATACATTGAAATGTGTAAACTGTAAACGTCAGGTAACACTAGAAGTTCTGTATAGATTAGAGACTACAGATTTATTTTTCTTTGTGACCTAGAAAATACAGAGAACCAAAGTTAAAGAGACCCTACCAGAAGTAAGCTAGCCACTCTTGCATATGGCCAGCAGAGCAATGTCCCTGGCTTTCTGCAAGTAGACATACCCAAGACAGGAATAGGATGTGATTTACTTAATGCTTTAAGGTGATCTATTCAGTGTCTCACTCTTGCAGTCATGTTATATCAGTGACAGTTCATGATATATCAGTGTTATTTCTTATAATTTGTTCTCCCTTTTCATCTCACAGTAGACAAATATGTTTTGTGTATATGGCAATAGCTCAGTGCCATGGATTCAGAAATAGATCTGTGAAAAGAGAGTGTGGTGATGTTTCTTTCATTGCTGTCTTAACATCTAGAAGACCTGCTGAACAACATCCACTCCTTTAAGAAAGGAGTAAATGAACCCAGCAGTCTTGGACTTATATATCTGGGAACTTGAAGACCCACGTGCCTTTGAGGAGAAAAAAAGCTCCACACTCTTTCTTTGATGTTAGAACCTCTGCTTTCTAAAGGCGGTGGTGCAACACAGAACAGCTTTTATTTGCAGCAGCTAAGATGACTTTCTGCTGGTGGGATCCCTCTTTTTCTCTGCTGTGCTCCTTTGTATGTGGCTTCCTCAGCTAATTAATAAAACTGATAAATGTTTGTGCCTTCTTTTTCAGCAGTAATTACATTACACAGTTCCTAAGGTTTCTGGGGGCGTTTCTGCAAGACAGGGGTTTGGAACTTAAGGAAAATATTGCCTAAATTGACATAGAAAGTCTTTGAGAATACGTAAACTTCTGAAAGTTCTTATACATTAACTTATGTAAATTCAACATAATCTCCAGATTTGTTATCTGGATAATCTCCAGAAGTCCAGTCAAGTCAAAGAGGTTAAACTGTTTAACTGTGTTTAACTGTATGAGGAAATCAATGAAGTGATGTGTGAAATAAATACAAAGGCTATGAATAACTTCTTTATGTATTCTGTTCCAGTGTGTACTGGAGACAAAGCAGGATCTCATTGAACCACTCCCTTTAATGTCATTCCTGCTATTTGAAATTACTTCCTGGTTCTTGAATCTCTTAAAGAAGAGCTGCTAATTTTCAAGAGATATTTACCTAATGAAGAGTGGCCTTAGATACCAGGTCTACCTGTCATATTTAATTTTTTGCCATCTTCTGAGATAAGGTCTATGCCTTTTTAATATAGACTAGTCATTGTCTTTATGCACAACACATCTGAATAAACGATATTAAATAGTGAATAGAGAGATGTTTTACATTGCAGGTACAAGAAATTGAATCTCTGTCATATTGATGATAGAAAAATTAGACCAAATAAGATGTCATTTTCTTCAGGGACATTAGTGTTCTTCCTCTGGCACTAAGTAAGTTTA